CTGGAGATGGGAAACCTGCTAACAAAGGCTGCAGAGAGAGAAATACAGGGTGGGCTACAGAGTGATTGAAGACAGCTGACCTAGACCTGCATATAAACTGAAAGGCAGCACATTCTAGGAGCAGAGCTGTGGTACTCAAGAGATGGGATGTGGTCATTACCACATTTAGAGGTAGGTGCCTGTCCTGCCCATACAGAATTCAAAATGGTTCAGTAATTTGCTAAGGCTGTCTAAACCATTCAAAAGGGTAAAACAATAGGTAATAGCTCAGTTACTCAGTTTTCTTGACTGCCGTTGCCACATGAGGTTTTATTAGTAGTAAAATCAGGCACATTCCAAGCATTTCATGCACAAGAGATGGACTTAGGCTCCATGAAGAGTGTAAGCAAATTCTTGGAAAGAGAATGCAGATTTAGAGCGATGCTCCTTTATGTCTTTTGCTTAAGACCTAGCTGACACAAGCAACTGAAATTTGCTGCTAAATGAATCAAGACAGTACAGTGCATTTCAAAGCAGCATTAAAATCGGTGCTTGCCTCAGCAGGATTTGGTGCTCCTGATTCATGCCTGTATAACATTAAAGCTGAATTAGAATACTGCCATTCTTTATTTGTAATCCTCCTTGATTGTTTGCTTTCACTAATGTGTTATTCAGCTTAAAGACTATTTACTAAAACTGAACTGTATGAGCATGCAGAGCATTAATGTCACATGAGCTTCCATTATTTGTAAATTAATTTATACAAGCCAAGTTTTAAGCAATATACAGTTTAGATACATTTAAACTATGGATCCAAACCTTTAATCCATTTTTTCTTAACTCCTTTTATACATATTGTGTGTGGAAATTAACACATATAAGCAAACTTAATCTGGGTATTTTCATTGCTACTGGTGATGAGATACGGAAGCCTTACTCATTCTGGAACAGATGGTAGAAACAGAAATTTCTCCCAACAAAACTAAACTTGATCTAGAGGAATTCTCTCTAGAGAACCTCTCTGAGGTTTGGTCTTGATTGCTGTACGATCTCTGTGTCATCCCTGCTGTCCCACACCCCCAAAATAAATAAATAAATAAAAGGATTAGTACTGAGAGGCACCACTGGCAAAAATGCTGACTGTGATGACAGCTCAGGAATTCTCAGATGTGGACCCCTATTGCTGCTACTCGGTTAAACGCTTTTTCCTGCACAAAAGCACAGTGAGGGGTTGCCACTGATGGCACATAATGGCATAAATATGCCTGGGAAATGCTGATATATTTAGTAACAAGTACATCTGCCTCCCAAGAACTGCTGAGATCTACTCACTCAGTTTTAAACAAGGAAACATTAGCAGCAGCTAAAATCACTTAGGTGAAAATATTTGAGGAGTGACTAGAAATGTAGAAAGGAATAGTGGGAAAGAAAGGCTCTCCCTCCTGGTAATTCCGAGGCAACTATGATGTCAGCCATCACTAAAAAATATCCCTGCTTTCCACTTCGTATAGGACTAATGACAGGATTTTTCGGGTTAAGCTAGATCAAGAACATTCACTTTTAATGCTTCTAAGATTTAAGAAATCTTCAGCACCTCTAAGCTGCAGAAAAACAAGTCCAGAGATTAAGATTTATATTCTTGATAATGGGGCAGGCTCACATAAATAATTGAGCTGAATTTAAATTTCATTCCAGTTGTAAAGTGTCTGCCTCTTATTGAGCTGCATTGCATGATTAGAGGTTTGACTGTATCAGTCATTCATAGCCATTGTCAGAAATAAATCGCTAGATTAACTCATGACTATGGCAAGCACAGGAAATGTGTGCTCTTTGGAAAAATAATGTTCCTGAACTTCTGCACTTGATGGAATAATCAAAATCTTCCCAAGGGATTCAGGCAGATATTGGCATGGTAACATGAAAGGGACTGGAGTCTCCTATCCATTTTGTTTTCAGTTTGTATTTCCAGGTCCATGCATAGTATGGATTTAACAAACAAACAAACAAACAAACAACAACAATACCACAATTAGCATCTATTTTGCATCTAATGAAACAGAAGACGAGCTTCTTTGTCCGTAGTTATTTCAAGCCTTATGTTTTCATCTAGGGCTTCATCCAAACACAAATGAAATAAATTCTTGGATCAGAACCATAGATTTGTTGCCAGCACTAGGTTTTGAAAACTTCTACGTTTCTCAGTACTCACATAACAATTATTGAGCAAGACTTACTAGCTATCTCAGTTATTTTTCATCCACATGTTTAACAGGGCAGGTCATCTTTAACTTGAAAATACCAAAAGAGTTTAGAACCTCAAGCTTACTGCCATTAAGATCAGAGCCATTACTTATTTGAATCTGGTACCCAGTTTCTAAAGATACTGGATTATTTCCAGTAGACTGTTTACCTTGGTGAGCACAGAATTAGCCTTGCATTTATGTGAAATTTTATTGTCCAAAGCAAATATGACCTGTTAAGATTTACAGGCTTTATTAGCAGCAATAACAATTTTACAATCAACATCAGTAAATCAGGGTTTATTGAGAACTCTACAATTTTTATCTTCAGAAAGCAATTAAAATGTCAGTTTTTCATTAGAGATAATCCCTGACTTTTATGAAAGACAAATATCCTGTTTAATTGTTGAGTGTAAAGCAGTGTAGTTCAAATAACTCTAAAATTCTCAGTGAAATACAAGTAGTGTTGACTGAGAATCACCACTTTTTCCCAAATGCCTGAATTCCAAAGATAGCATTTTTTGCTGTTTAACTATACAGAAATTGGAAAACAGTCAAATGTATGCAGTCAGTTCAGCAAACCATACTTGTTGGGTAGAAGTGTATCTATTGTAATTTGTTTCTTTTGGTCTCAAAGAAACCACATAGATTTTATATAGTTTTTCGCTTGAAAACTTTCTGCTCACCTTTAAATGCTGTCTTTTTAGAATTAGTAACAAAATCAAACTGACATACATGGTAGCATACTCTTCAGACTATGAAAACAGTCAATGTAGAAAAACGTACTATAATGTTCTAAGGAAGTTACTAGGATCTTTATCACATTAAAGAACATGACTTCAGTGAACATACAGTGTATTGCAAGGCACAAGGATTACTTGAGCCTATAAAGTTTTGAGAGAGTATATTAGACAACTGAACAAGGTGGGGGGGAAGGTGGTGAAGGCACTGGACAAGGCAGAGTTTCTCCATGAAAACTGGGGTGCCAGCTCCCAAGGCTGACACACACTGCCAGGACTGCAGGTCAGATATATTTCCACAGCTAAGAAAGATGTTTTGCAGTCAAGTAGTGGCCACATCATGCTTCATTTCACTTTGTAACTGCTTGTTTCCAGCCTTTTTCCTGTAACTCTGCACTTGATTTTGGGCACTTTATTATTAAACATTCACTTGTTTTACTATAAAGTCTGTCTAGCTTTGTGGAACAAAGGGAACCAGGTTGAAAGGAATAAGCATAGTGGAAATTTTTTACCACAAAGATAGCAAATTTATCTGAGACAGGATACACTGGCAATCTCGACAGATATGCATTCAGAAAACTTGGTTTAGCAGTGTACATTGTCTGAGAGAAAAACGTCACTGAGGTTACCAACTGGTGGCTTTAGGGAACCTCTGCAGGCAGTGATTACCATCCTTTCTGCAGAGAGTACAGGCAATGAATCCCTCACAGAGCAAGATGTTTAGGCAGTTATACCTTTGGAAGTTTGTTTTGTCTACAAAATAGGTATGTTTACCAGAATGCACATTTAAATAATTTTGGCAATTCTCTGTAATGCAGTATCTATTTTTCTAGTACCACTAAACATGAGTAAAAACAATGCACAGCTGAGAAGAATGTAATAACAGAAATTTGAATGACACAGTAATGCATATTAGATACCTAGATACAAATCCATCTACTCACCATTCTTATTTCTAACTCATTTTCCTTTTGGTCTTTAACACTTCTGCCTCATTTTCAGTGTCTTTTGCACCCCAGTTTGCTGCATTTCTCCTCTATTTTCAATGGCATCTGCTCAACATGCTTCTCTCCTTAACTAAGAGGATGCATGTTTCCTTGGAGTTTATTTTTCCTTGCTGCTTTTGTTCCTTCAATTAGAACATACCACAGCAATAGTGGAGATAAGGGCCAAAATAACTTCTGAGTGATACTATTTGTCTTATTCATCAAAGGATGCTAAAGAACACACTGCAGAATCTGCAGTTAGAAATACAGCACAGTGTTACTGGGGCTGTTCCACAGCTGCAGCCGTATGGCTGAGCCTACACTGCAGCCTGAACGTGGTGACTGTAGCTTACCGAGGTACACAAGAGATTTAAACTGCTGATCTCACTCTTGCCATGGCAGCACTGGCTCAAGACTACCACCACCAGTCTGTTTTTTGATAGGTAAGAACAGTGTGATGCCATGCTAGCTTCCACCATCAGATTCTTTTTTTTTTTTTTTTTAATGCCTCCCTAGCAGATTTTTAAACACAACCCACTTAGAACATCTTCCTCCAAGAATAGTCTGGCTATTATCATTTTAAGGCATCCCCATTAGTTTCCTGTTAAGATTCAACTCTCTTGACAAAAAGCATATTTAAAGCTAAACAAGAAACCCCAAAATTATTATTTGCAGCAGATTTTCTCTCTCCAGCAACAATTTATCATAATATTTTTAGGGTTTTTTTTCCTTTGTTTTATTTTTCAATGAGAACAGTAATTTCTGAGAAAGTAAGTAACAATCTGTTTTCAGTTTGTAAGCATAAAACTTGAAAATTGTATCAAAGCTAGGATTTTTTCAGCAAATGTTCCTGAATTCTGGTAAAAAGCCATCCTTTTTAAAAACTTACATAATCAAAAAAATACATATTTAAAGCAGTCGGTGAGAGAAGAACACTGTAACCAACGCTGGACCTTGAGAACCACATGGTAGCTAAGCCCTTTTTGCTTCTCTCCTCATTTCTCACCAGCCCAGGAGGCATCAGCCACCAGCAGTGACACTGCACAAAGCCTCACCTCAGCTGCAGGGACTCCCTCAGGTGGCCGACAGTGGAGAACGATCATCCCTTCGATAGGAACCTCCTTCCCTTGTGGGTCTTGCTCAAAGTTTTTCCGTAAATCTGCAGAGTTTAATGCAATAATTCATTATACCTCCAAAAGCCATTCCTCCCCAAACAATACTATGTAGGCTGCAGAAGTAAGCAACAACACCGCTTTGCCATATTCTTCTCTTAAGTGTGGGTATAAAGCAATGGACAACTGAGAGTTACCAATTCTTCCCTAGATGAGAGGCAAAGAGATCCTATCATCTTTAGTTTGTTTCCATCTCTCCACCTTTAAGGAACGATCTGTGTGTGACTACAGAGACAATCAATTTTAGAAGCCCCAAACTCCGTGGTTCCAGTTGTTGCCCTTCCACAACACGAGAATTAAATGCAAGAACAACAATGTGGTATTGTTAGGGTGCTGTTAGAACCAACTGAATGACTCCAAGACTAGGTGAGTAATTTTCCTAGTACATGCTACTTCAGATGAGTGCCAGCATATTTTACAAAATGTTCTAAGCTAGATGTGTTGTTTAGATCGCCTACATACTGCAAGCTGTAGGGAAAGAAGGAAAGGACTGAGAGTGATTCCACACATTCCAAACTGGCTGATTACAAGATTGTTTCATTTCAGATGCCATGGCCCAGCTAGTAATTCAGGGAAAGGAACAGGGCATATTGTCTCAAGAGTCGCACTGATGTGGCCGCAGCACTACTATGTACAAGTGTCTGGGTAAACCAGAACAGACACAAAGGAAGCCTAACCCAGACATGCCCATGGATATGTAAAGTTTTGCTTGCTGTGAAAGGAAAACAAAACGGAAGGAATGTTACTTACTACATGTGCTTTGAGAGTTAGGATGTTTCCATTAGACATACTCATTTTCTTCAAACAGTGTCTCAGATTCTAGAGTGTGGATTTACTGATTTAATTTTCTCATTGCTTACACTTCATGAAATACACCCCCTTAAACAGCAGAGGCTCTGACTCAGTTACACTTTAATATATTTTCTAAAATACTTTAAGACTTAATTTAGCAAGCCGATCACTAGAGAAAGATGCACACAGTGCATGTATTCTCCTTTTTATGATTCTTTGTTAATGTTGATTTTTTTCCCCCACAGATAACCAATATGTTCTCCAGTACTCTATTTAAAAAGTCATTCATTAACAGTTAGGCTGCAGTTCTGCCTACAAATGCCTTTATTAGGATGAAAAAGGGAGTAAGAGCCATCTTTTCATTTTCTCTGCATTCCACACTATCACAAAGAAATACATACCTGCTTTTTCAGAGAAATATAAAGTGCTGTAATGCTTTGGACTTGACTCACAATACAGAATCTCTAGGCTTTAGGTGAAAAAAAAAAAAAGTAAAAAGCAAAGGAAAAAAAAAGTTGACACTACCACACTGTGCATCACAATGACAAGTGCTGTGAAAAAGTTATGGGTTCTGTATGCTATCACAAATTGGACCTACACACTGTCATCTCTAGTCCTCTACAGGGTATTCTCCAAGTCAGAAATCCATGCCCCAAATTAAGTAGCTAGGTTGTTCACCACAGACAGGATGACACAGGTCCATGAAAGGGTGAGCCCTGGGAACTCATGGAGGTGGTTTATAGACATCTGTTGGCAGCTATTCATTTTTTCTGTCTGGAGTACTAACAAGTCCCATCATCTCTGCACTCAAGAATTGCTGTTCTTTTCATAAAAAAAACATGGCTTCAAGTAACAGTAGCACAGCAAATGGCCAGTACAGGAACACAGTTCTCAGGCGAAACATTCAGCCACGCTCAGTACATTACATAAAACAGAAACGAAGAGCACTCTCTGGCATGCCTGCTAGGTTAATATGATATCTGCAGTTATTGATGGCAGCTGGGGATGTGGTTTGCTGAAGAACTGGTACCACAGTGATGGGTTTAAAAGTCCCATCACACAGCTCCACCTGCTTCTGCTCATTCTGATTTTTACTCATATTGCCATATTATGGGGTTGGGAAATCACAGTGCGGAGAAAAGTCAATAAAAATTCAATTCAGAATAATAGTCCTTTGCAGCTTAGCAATACAGGGGAATTATTAGCTCATTCAGGGTTATGACAGTTAATGCAGTAAAATAAAAAATTGAATTTACACATATTTACACATTCAAACTAAAACAGCCAACAAAACCCCCTGTCATTTATAAAATCAAGGAGTAGTTACATTATCCTATTATTTACTTCAAATATTTATTTTAAGTTATCCTGTTAAAAAGAGCATAATTTTAGAAAGATTTATCAAGAATTTCTAGAACACTACCTGATAAAAGTTACCACTCAGAGTTTCTTGCTTGAACCTCACCAACCCCTTCTTCCTGCCTCTCATCTCCTTCCAAGAAGCATTTCTCCTAACTCTTTGCAGGTTGTTGCCATCATTTCCTGGGGCTAGGTCTTTAAAGACCTGAACTGGTGATTTAAAGGAAAAGGGTTCACAACAGATTGGGGGAAAGTAATTTCCTGAACTCTCTGCAAGCAGCACTGCTGCAAAACGATGGTTTCAGGCTCTGATTCTGTTAGAAAAATGTAGCAGATCTAATTGCAAGGTAAAAATGGGATGAGCCTTTGAGTATCTCCACAGTCTCACAGTAACAATTGTATTTGGGTTCTGTCTTTTTTTACGTCCCTTTTGCTATGATGGCATTTATTGACTCTTCCATTTTTTGCATCTTTCAAATAATGATCTGTTGATTGTGAGTTATAACACTACACCACACTATTTCAGATATGAAGAGCAGAGATAAACTGAGTCTAAATACTTCCTATCTGGGGACAATGGTCGTCCTCTGCTCCCCACTGTATTAAAAATTGTGGAATGAGTCTTCTATTCTAAAAGAGATTAAGCCAAATAACTCCCCTTCCCCAATAACTCTTAATTAATCTACAGTGGTGTTATTTAAAACTTAACATTTGTCAGCCTACAAGACCAGAGTTATTCCCTTTGTTTAAAGTAGGAAGTAATGATGCTCCCTAAGCAAATAGTGACAGCAACTACCATAACTACATGGCTGCCTTCAAAATTACCACTGGTAGCGACTCTGTCACTGTTTGGCATGACTTAGAAAGACATACATTTTAACTGAATAATTCACAACTCTGCAGAGTGGAATTCCTTTCTAATCCCATTATGGCAAGCAGCAGGCATATAGAATCATTTATAAGTAGCTTAACAGCACAGTGTAACTTTGCAGGGTCCAATTTCTTAATACGGGATGTCACACCATGTGATTCTATAGGTCATGCAGCTGGCTCCAAAGTCAAAGCATAAGGCCTTGCAGAAAGCATATGAAAAAGCAGATGTTAGCACCTGGGAACACACACCAGCCTCAAATCCATTCCCATCTCCCTCTAGTAACCTTTGGTCACAATGAGGGTGGCAGTGAGATGGAATAATCCTACCAGCCAGAAGTTGAAGAAGAGGATTGCTATTAGCCATCTTCCCACACAAGAAGGGCTGATCCTCTGTGTAATGTCCTCCAACACAGGAAGCACATGTTGAGAATAACTTCCTCATTATGACACAAGCAATATATCGGCTGACTTTGAGAAGCTGTTGTCCGATTTTCCAGTCCAAGCATGATGTGCAAGAATAATACTTTTACCTTGTCACAAGAAGGAAATTTTTCCGAAGTCACTTTAACTTCTCTGAATGACAGATTCAACCATCTGATCTAGATTTCACATCAACTATGTAGTTAAAAAAGTGGAAGACTACCTACCTTGCTCATGACAAATTTTATTATCTTCAGTAGTGGTTCTTATAAATGTCTATAGGAACAGCATTTAAAAGGATTTTTTTCTCAACAATGCATGTTTAGTTCCATAGAGAAATGATGGAATTTCTGTAGCAGTCTTAGTTCTGTTTAAGATGTTTGCCCCTCATTTCCTCAAAAAAAGGAGGGAAGGTATTTTTTTCCTCTACTGACTGGAATTATTCCATTTTTTCCTACTTTTATCTCATTTTCCCCACAGCTTATCATACCTGATGACCAATGATAGGCTTCAATATTGAGAACCAAATTTAAAATACTATGCTACAAAAGCTTCTAATGCATTCTTGCAGGTTTTTTTGTACGAAGTGTAGAAGACAGACACTGTTAAATGGTTTTCCATATTTTTTTAGACCCCTGTGATCAACACGGAGCAAAAGGGCACTTTCCAGGGGATTTTCAGTTTGCATTAATCTTTTTTATTACATTGCATTGTTGTGACACTGTGCATATGCAGTCCAGAACGTCTGAAACAGACTTGCTGAGTGTAAATGCAAATCAATCAATCCACACTAAAATAAAAGAAAGCTCTGAAAAAACCCACCAGGGCATGCTTTCTGTGATACTCGTACAGTATCTGATAGGGAAGGCTTGCAAAGACAGCAGTACCTTACCAGTATCCATTTATATTTAACCTTAAAAGAACAGTATTTTTCCATACCTTACAAAACCTAGAATAGCAGAACATTTACTCCACTCACAAGCTATGCGGACAGATGCCTTCCTACTCTTTGAGGTCCCTAGATGGCTCCATGCAACACATTGACACCAGTAATCTTCTGGCCCATGAAAATCTTCCACTTGCTGTCTCGTCACATTGATGAACACCTCTCGAACTTTCAATCCTAAAGGGGAAAGATACAGAAAATTAGCTGATACAGGCTTACTTGGGCATAAAGCTAAGGTTAGCCAAACCTTTTCTTTTAATTAAACAATTCCATTTTTAATCAAGGCAAAGCTTTAATTACTTTGACAATAATACATGGCTACTAATTAAATTCTAAAAGCTGAGTAGGTCATAATGCATTGAGTTACAAAAATTACCCACCCATTGTGGTCTTTGCAAGAATATAACACCATTCTCAGAAACCTTGTCTCTTGTGCCTTTTTCACCCAGAATGTTTATCTGGAATTTTATAATATAATATACAACAAAATTATCTTCTGATCTAACGTCTCAGTGCCCTTGAAAGCCTTTCTGAAGTACCCTGGTAAGGCCCCCAATCAAGTCAAACAGCCAGAACTATGCATGGATGACAGGAACTAATCAAATGCCCCACTGAATTCCAGCCTGTTCCAGCCACTACTACCGCAGTTCCATCCAGCAGCCATTTCCTCATACAGGAGAGAAAAGCTGTTTCTTATACTTGCAGCACAGAGAAAGCTAAGCTCAAGCCATTACAGCCTGGGAGGAGGAGAAAAGAAAGAGAGGGGCATAAATTTCACAGCTCACAAATGGAGATGGCCACCCTATCCTTCTGGGAAGCAAGTGAACCAGCTACAAAACTGAAGTCTTGCCTTTCTTCACTTTCACAAACAGAAGTGTTTATAACATCAGATCAATACCTTGCTTATTTTACACTGTTTCCCAAAGTATAACCTTGCTAAATTCACCTGCAGTGCAATGTTGTCATCTACTGCAAATTCACCTGTTGTCTATCAAAACGAATGCATATCTCTTTCCTGAGGGAGGAATCAGTTACACCTAAACAGCTGAGAAAAGGATCTAAGGGAATAATCAAGGCTAGCCAGGAGTAAAGATGGGAAAAGCCCTGTGCTTTTTTTTTTAGCCTGCTGCCATTTTCATAACCTCCTGGGCACAGGTGAAATTTAGCAGTATTGCCCTTCAGACCGGAAGCATTTGCTTCAGACAAAGCTTGAAGGTAAATACAAGACATCAAGAAGCCTTGTAAACCTGACACCTGATTTTATACACTTGGGATGTTTGCCATATCTGCAACTACCTTTGCATGACAACCTTGGGGAAAAGAAATATAATCCAAATCTGGGTTAAGAGGCATTAGGAATCATTTGAAAGAGCCAGTCAGAAAAACATTAATTTGAAAATAGAAAACATTCATGCCTACTACTTTCTTCTTTCTCCTCCTCTGCAGTCCCAAGATACTTACTTCCCCTTCACTGGAAATGAATGAAAACTCAATCTTAAAATATTTCATGCCTGTGAAGTTTATAAAGCAGCAAGAAATTTCTAAACCTGAACTCCATAAAAATTGGCTTCCACTTAATCTCAGGCATCATTAACAGCTGGGTATTTCACTTCTGAAAGGCACTAGGAAGTCAACATGTTCCTTTGGTAAACAGGAGAGATGAGGCCCACTGGGGATGCTCACTGAAGTGAGGAGGGGAAGGTCAGACAAGCTTTAAATACTATGAAGTGATACAAAATTTTTGCTACTTTTCCAGCAACAGGCAAAGGGGGTGTTTACTACTTTTCATTTATCCTGTTTGGCTTGCTATATTTCACAATGATACTTAAAGACATGGACAAACCTGCAATAGCTTCCTAAGTTGTCTCAATTATCGTTTTAGGCACTCAAATATTTATTCACTCTGTAATAAACAAACAGAGGTTTCCTGGTTGTTTTTATTTGCATTTTGTTTTTTAAATATGTTCATGCAGTTTTCAACAAAACTGTTTACAAAACATCCCTTTATTTTCTGCCATGGTGAAAACAAGCCATTATGAAATAAACACAGCACACGGAACTCAGCAGTTCTGTCAGAAACTCCTCTCCTTGCTGACATACTGACTGTAGAATGCATGATGAAAATGCACCATCTCAATTTAAACATCCAAGCTGCTCTGCCAGCGATGAATCTTTGGATTCTCAGCCATACATGATTTTGTAGAGGGATCTTTATGGGTTAAATATAAGAGCAGCTACACTAAGATTCATTAGAGAGCATCTGAGTCCTGGTGACCTGACACAGCAGGTCTTCACTGGCTGAAGATTTGGCATCCCACCATGCTGTATGACACTGGCAGACATACACTTTCTTGTTACTTACCTATGGCAAATCAAGCTGTGTGCAGTCCCTGAGTGACGTCAATCAAAGCTACAAAGCATCAAAGCTCCAGAGCCTCCAAATCCAAGCTAATTTGCAACCATGTCCAACAAGGTTGCAACCCATCTACTTAAAGACTTCTTTGACAAGGGTGTAAAATGATTAAGTCCTTGACAAATACTGACCTTTCCAAGATGGCCTGTCTCCAGTCAGGAATCACTCATCCAGCATTCAATTAGCTGACATGCACTTCTGTGCAGCCATGCACATCGTATCTGCCTGCGTGTCTATGCTGCCTGTAAACAGTGTTGCTCTGTAGGTTGCTATGAAGGTACAGCCTCTTGCTGTACCTGAGTATCTCCAGCTATCCTCCCATCCCATGATCAGCTCATTCCCACCATGACCTCTAAGCAGTATCCTCCTGGGGAGAGAACGCTCCCTGTTACCAGCCATTAACTACAGCCCTGCTGACAGCGCTGCTGTTCACCCACCTGGTTCTGGTATGCCGTCTACTGACCTCTCTCAATTTCTGAGATACTCTAGGAATTTTTGGAAGCAGCAAATAGAAATGAAGGTATGAGAACCACATATTGTACAGCTTACCGGTGCATCCATGCTAACAACAACAGAATCTTTACTGATACCAAACAAAAAAAATCATCACATGATGATGATTTTTTTGAGAAGCGGAAGCCATTTCTAGGCTCATTGGTAGTGTAAAATTCTGAACAGTCGTCAGTGAATACAGGCATTTACAGCTTCAGATTTATTAAGGTAGCATATTCTCCAGCCCAGCTCTTCCTTTCATTGACACATTATTTAATTAACCTATATATCAGCCTATACTTTCTGAAGCAACATTTAATGTGGTTTGAATCAGGCAAACAAACAGCACATGATTTTGAGAAGCTGGTGGTTCAGCATTTTGAGAACGGGACAGGTAGGAATTCAGCTCCTCTTAAAGGTCTCCCAATTTGCCAATAGACAAAATAAATGCATCCAAAATAGCAGAATCACAGAATTGTTGAGGTTGGAAGGGACCTCTGGAGAACATCAAGTCTTTGGGGAAAGTTCTGTTTTGTTTATGGAGAAAGTACACCTGTTTTCATTTGTTTTAGAAACAACTACAGAAAGCAAACCTATCGGGAACAGAGGCATATATTCTTCATTTATCATCACTATATTTCACCAACAAATATACTCACCTACCCTCTGCATCTCAAGAAATGCCAGGAAGATTGTTCATAGGAAACAACACAGAATGAAAAATCCATGCAAATAAAAAACAGGCACATAATAAACAAGAGCAACATTTTACCTGTGACTTGTATAACTCTAATAAGCACTGCAAGTCCAACCCTTTAAATTATTGTGCAAATTATAACCATCATCTTTTGTTATACAGTACAGCCTTACAGAATATAAAATTATGACTATGGTACTGATATGCTAATAAGCTTTCTGCACTGTTGGATGGTTTAGCTGCAGATAGACTAATGCTGGCAGCAGATGAATAATTGCTCTCCATGTACTAAACATAACAGAGCTGCACAGAACTTGAGCATTTGTCAGCTTTATTTGTTTAAATGAGAAAAACACTGACAGCAGTTATTGCTGTAATCCTGTTATTTATCAGACAAGAAAACTGTAGTTACTCTTAGCAGGTCTGATCCTCTGGTGAAACCAGAACTTGAAATATTTATAAACTAATTCTGAGGTGCATGCTGCAATGTTCAGGCAAGAAAAATAAAGCAGAAGGAAATTAATCAAACTGTAATTATTATATTTTTATCACAGTAGCATCTACTAGCTCAGGCTCTCACTTTATGAGGCAGAATACATAGAGAGAGCAAAGTTCCTGTTCTGTCACATTTATGGAAAAAAAACAGCAAAGGCAGACCATGGATTACTATCTTTTCTGCAACTCAGGAAATAAGGCAGGAGAGGATGAAATAACTTGGTCTCTAACCGACCAATTGTGGCAGCACAGAGATGGGAACCCGTATCCGTCGTACATGCAGCATGTGTCAGCCTGCCTGCACTGATTTTCTGCACAAACAGCAGAAAATCCACAACCTGAGAGACTTCAGTGCAAACTCTTCAAGCCCACCAGGACCTCTTACATTCTCAGGCAGCCAGCACGTCACAGCCTGTAACTACAAAGCTTACAAAACTACAAAAATCCTTCCTCTCCTGCTGCTCCTCCTCTTCAAATTAACAGCAACTCCTGTGTTACTCTAAGATTTTTATTTTTGTCCTATAAAAACAGTCTTGCAAAATTGGATTCCATATTCATCACAATGACAAAATATACCCATTGTCTACCAACAGCTGTCCTTCCTCTCCTTTTATATGTACACAATACAGTGCTGTAGGTAAAATCCATCAGACCAGTGTGCTTTCAAGTACCATTGCCAAGTACTTCTTGCATATGCCTCGCCAAGAGCTTACTGGCAGGAATTTATAGAGATGCTAAGATTCATTTCTTGTATTCAGCATTAAATTTCCTCTTGTTTGGGTTTCTCGTTGCTATTTTCCACCACTGTTCTATACATCATCTCAGAATTTTAATCACATAACAAATAGTGGAAGGATGGAAAAGGACAGACCCTTTGTAATGTACTGTAACCTCCCTTTAGTGAGCACACCAGAATCACACCCTTTAACCAGAGGCACCATTCTTGGCATAAATTCTAGTGCAGTTTTTCACAGATGGAGCCCACGCAGTACACAGAACACTGTGCGTGCTTGGTAATAGACATGTTTATGCCCCAGATTTGACTCCAGAAACAAGGGCACTGCCAGTATGCAGATTAATTCTAAAAAAAAAAACCAACCCCAATAGTCTGCTGTTTACTGAAGACTAAGGAAGAGTTCCAAAATAATTTATGGATATGGATACATCATGGTGAGAGAACATCCATGCCTGTCCTTCAACATTACACTGTACATAGCCTTTACTTACATTTTTGTGTCCTAAGTACCATTATGGTAGTTTTTGGAACACATGGACATGCTGCACTGTCTGGACCAGACTTACGTTTAGAGAACAATACTTTTAGGGTCAGCTCTGTCCCTGGGTTAAATTCAAACCTGCAACGTTTATATTCCAGATCCCATTTGCTAAGCCTATGCCTCTATGTCTCAAACCTCAACATTACTGGTGTTATTTAAAAAAAAAAAAACCAACAAAAAACCACACCTAATGTTACTTTATCTTTTTTTATTCTGTTATCAATCCAAGACTTAGAAAACATAATTGCAGTATTCACAAGACAGATTTTCATTAACCATATGGAAGAAAAACATTTAGGGACGACATTTCTTCTATATTGATTCAGCAATGCCTTTAGAAGTAAAGGTTATGCCTATTAAATTATTTTTGAAAAGGTAACTGTAAAAATTAAAATTCATCCAGATTAGCATTTACAAAAAGCCTTTAGTATGAAATTTCTTCAGAATGTGTCACTTAAAAAGAATGCCAAACACCACTTTAGGAGATGTAACTTCTTTTTAAATGGCATTTTTTCCTCTAAAAAGGAATTTCTTGCATTGATAGAGAGGATGTTATGCATACACTGCTATTTCCAAGACATGGAGTTGCCTAGCAATCTTGGAATCTAAAAAGAGGAGAAAAGCAATAACAACACAGAATTGTGAAATTACAAGACGGTGCAGCATTAAATTGGTTTGCAATACTTATCAAGATGCTTCTAAATGAGAAAAGATATAGGGTGTGCTGGGAGCATGATAAAACCTGTTGATCATTTTCAACTTTCTCCCTTCTCATTCTCTTCTTTTAGATACACACTTTTACACAACGGATTTCTCCTACTTAGCTTTATTACCTACCAAATACTTACCACTGCTTGGAGGCGAAGGCAAATTTCAATCACCGCATTGGTGGTTTTTCAGGGTTCATCCTGACAGGAATTTCATAAAAACATACGTTTCCCTGTTTCTAGTTCCCACTACAAATTACACCACTGAAATACAGAGAATTACTTTTCCCTGTAGAACTGTTACTTTCTTTCAGAAAGCTCACTGTTTATGGTTAGTGTTTGATCAGGCCTTATGTCTCCAGGTGGAGAAGTTGGTGGTGCGTATCCAGTTTGTTACCATCTCGTTTAATGCCTCCTACATGCATAGTCATTTTAATTCCCTTTGTTTTCCTCATTCATACTATGCCTCTTCTGCCAGGATCTGTATTCCCCTTCTCTGCCTGTCAGCTCTGTCCTTTTCTTACCCTCTTCCAGCCACTGCTTTCCCTTTTGCATTTTGGGAAACTTCTTCTCCCAAGTCTGCAAAGCTGTGTCTACAGGGTACGTCACAAGCAGATACGAGCTGGCTTTACCGACACCCCAAGCCAACCAAAACACGTTGTCACCAAAGCCCAGCAATAAGTTTATGCCAATACACTGGGCCCTCCTACCATGGCTTATTGGCTCTGCTCAGGGCAGAGCGGACTTTGTCCTGTGACTTTTGAGTTAGAGCCGGTTCCCACTCCTTTAGCTCAGTGCAAGCCTGCAACTATCTGCTAAGTCACACGACTCTTCTGTTTGTGTAGACGCTGCATTCAGATATATCTCCCAAAGGACACATTAGCCCTTACCTGTAGTCTCATCCATGCTTTCCTCAGACACGTGCTCATTTTGATGGACCCATTCACCATTGCACTTGAAGAAGATCTGCATAGCTGGCATAGCTTTACAGCGTAAGACAATTGGGTTGCTTTTTATAATGTAGGCATCATCTGGTTCCTCCATAAAATGAGGCAGTGTTCCAGGAGCAGATGGGATAGACTCTGGAAGCGCTTCACTGTTATCATTTCCTGAAAGGGAAAAAAAGGAAAATACACATTTTTCTTGTTGTTCACCCTTTGTATCATCTCATTTAATTGGTTGAATACCATTTGGGATTTTGTTAAAAACTAAGTTTACTAGAGAAACACCTGTAGAACTCAATAGCTGTCAGGATTGTGCTTTGTAAGGAATTTGACACACACACACACAAATATCAGGTAATTTAAGTGCAAGAGCTGTCGAGAAAATTGTCAGAAAAGAAGCATCAGAATCATCAGAAAACTGCATCATCACTATTGCCAATTTTATAGATGGGGAACTGAGGCACAGAAAGATTAAATGAGCCACCTAAGGTCATACAGAAAGTCTGTGGAAGAAGTAGAAACTAAACCTTATTCTCTTGAGAGTGACAGCCCAGTGCCTTAACTAGCAAATCTTCCTTTCTTTCACTGAGTTTTATTTCCTTTAGAGAGTTGCTGTAGATTTAACAGGGATCAGAGTGTTAACCACAGAGAAATATATTTATACGAACAGCATTACTGTAGCACTCCAACACTGGAATAAGCAAACTGTGATTTCATACCCACTTAGAGAAAATTTTCAATATGCTTTTACACTGTTCCCATTTACTGCAGCCCCTTTAAGGTGATATAAAAGTGTAAAAGTGGTTTCTGTAGGGCCAGAAACTGCAAGATAGTGAGCTTTCTCAGCTTATATCACAGATGGTAGGATCCAAGGGCATTCGTTCAGCAACGTATAAGCCGATGTGTCTTATTTTATGAATTCCTATGCTTAGACATGAACATAGAAGCACTGCAATAGAAGCATTTCCTTTACTGCAACTCTTCTAATTGAGTCAAATCCTAGTTGCTGCTGTCAAAACCGGCAAATTCCCATTGATTTTTAGCAACGCTGGGATTTATTTCAGTAGTTTGTCAGTTTTGTGAGAAAATTCTGAGAACAGCAACAAAAATAAGTCAGAAAGGATCAATTTATGAAGGAAGATTAGAAAGTACTGAATATGTACAGTGTAGCCAAACGGTAACATAGGAGGACATAGTCTATATGCAGATGAAGGGAACACAGTATCAGAGAAAGAGGAATAGCTGAGGGCAATATATATGTGATTTAACCAAAAACAATGAAATTAAGTTAGGTGAAAGGTAAGTTATGATGATATGAAGTAAGTCTAAAAACCTTCACAGGTCTAGTAGATTACAGAATAATGAGAACATACTTTGTCTTTATTTCTATTAAAAATAGGTGTCTCTCAGTTAGCACTCAGTATATCTGTGTGTGCAAATACACACTATGTGCTGTGAGATCATTACGACTTTCAAATGAGTTCAATGGTTTAAACTACATTCACAGTATACTTTATAAAATATTATCATAATTTTTAGCGTTTTACTACTGAACATTAATGCCAATTTCCATCTTGTCAATCTTCAGTAATACTGCGTCCCTGCAGGCTTTATTAAATCCATGCTTTATAGGAAATAACAAAAATGTCATTATAAGATTTTGGAGAGGCTTGGAAATCCCACGGTCTCATCAATGCTCTGAGTGTTTCACAAGGCAGTAACACGCCTGCGTTGAGGAAGAATAGCAGACAATTTTATAAGGATCATTCAGCTAGAGAACTCAGAATGACCCACTGTTATTCCACTAAATTTGCTATTTAGAGCAAGACACAAAGGACGAAATCCCAGCCCCACTGAAATTAAAGGCACAATTCTCCTCGCAAGTGGCATCCAGATTTAATGATAAGGCTTTATATTCTTGTTAAGTGTTACTAATGGGCACCTGAAAACAACAGATTCTACATGTCTTAGGGGATTGTGATGCTTTTGTCCAGCTCACCTCCCCAACAGATAAATTGAGTGAAGCACAAAATATTTTATGCTGTCACCAGCAGAATGGTTTTGGGCTTTGGAAGTGGCTCACTCCTCCTAAAGAAAACATTTAACATGAAGAGGTAAGTCAAGGTGCACCTTTTCACTTAAACATAACTGGCACTTCATTAAGTGCCCTTGAAAATCAAACTAACAAAGATCACAGTACACAAAAGGAGGAACGATTTTCTATATCCTATCTCCAACAGACAGATATTACTATATTTTTGCATGCTCTGCAAATGTAATTGCTTGAATTCCCTATTGTATGACATTTTATCATCCAGATGAAATCAGCATCTGGCAAGAATTTACTTCACTGAGTACAAGTTCACACAACCATTAGCAGAGGTGAGCAAAGTGACTCATTACCCTGTCCTGTGTGAGGTTAGGATGGAAGGCAACTCTGTGCCTGTAAGAAAATTCACAAAGGATTTGCATTCCTTGTTTTTTGTTTATGGAGGTACTACTTTTCTCCATGTAGCTACCTAATCAGACAGGGACTGCAATGACACTCATTTAAAGTGTTGTGATATCTAGAAGTTTTGCATCATAAATATCTAGTGTGATTTATGATACACAAGACTTACTTTACTGGTCCCTTTATCAGGCTAAACAGAAGAGTCACACAGCAGTATTTCCAATACATTAAAATAAATACCCTTCTGCATTTATATGTTGCACTCTGGCCCTAAGTAAGATGACATTTCCTGCCATACATGCTAAAAAAGTGATGATTAGACAAGTTGCAGTGTCTACAGCTCCCTGGGACTGGAACAGGTACGATCACACTCTGAACAAGTGCTACCATTTACTTAACCACAGCTACAACAGGGAATTTATCAGTGAATTGGGAATGCATACTCATGTCAATTTTTAACTGTTTACTGATGCCAAGAGTGAAGTTAGATTAACAAATGAGGTATTTTTTTCTTTCACTTTCAAAGGCTGTGAGGGACTGAAAGAGTTAATGTCTCAAACATTGCAGTGGGGCAAGTTCTGCTTAAAGACAAACCCTGCACAGCAAGGAACCAAGGTGAAAAGCCCATCAGCTCAGACATCAGTAACAGGAGAGAGAGGGCGTGCTGGAGGGTGTGCAGTTCCCTGTTCCGATAAACGGTTCTGATACAAAGATCAAACAATGGTAGTGTCTGCAGGGAAGGAGAAGTTACTCCACAAATGACCCCCAAGCCCAAAGGCTCACAAACCGCTCATTAACCTGAAGAGTTTGGGTGCTCGCCCGAAGGAGGCGCAAGGATAATAAAAAGGACACCAACTGAAGGTCCAGGCATGCAAACCCACTGGAACTGGACCCATCGCCTGACTGGACCAACGCTCGACTCAGGACCGGTGAAATCTTTCTCTCTACCTTTCTCTCTCTGTCTTCTTCTCTGTCTCCTTTTCCTTTTCCACAATCCCTACACCTCATCCGTTTCAAGATCTAAACTGTTGACCAAGTCTGGGACTAAGAGTGGATCCAGCTGCCCCAGGCCCTTTTCTGAGGAGGAGTCTGGAAAGCAAGGGGGTCTGCTGTGAACCTCATGACTCAACGGGAGGGATCTCCTTATTCCCTGAATTGATGTATATGGTTACACGGTTTACGGAAGTAGTCTTATGCCAATTCCTGTTGTGAGAAACCCTGCCACCTACTACCACGCCTCCCCAGTTCCGTTCGCTTCTGTCATAAATAAAATCTTTAACTATCGTTTGGTGTCATTTCACCTTAATTTAGCCTGAGGGAATTTCGAATTAAACAGGACTCCCTGGTCTGTCCAGTCTGGGTCATGACAAAGGCCACCCTTTTCTTTACTCTTACTTTTGTTTTTTTCATCCATCCTGCATCTTCCACTAGTAAGGACTCCTTTCTAGCCTCGGAGTCTTTCCAGCTTTTATCTCAAAGCTATATATTCTTACCAATCTGTATAAGTGAAGTTTGTCATGCTAAAGAAAGGATAGACTCATACAGAACTCCTCTCTGCGAGCGCTCTGAGTGCTTTACAAATCTTAAAACCACAGAATAAAGTAGAAGACTTTGCTTTAGCAGAAATGTATTTGTTTCACACACTACCTCCTCAAACATCTATACAGCAAATAAATGCATTTAAAAACAATCAGCATTAAGTCTGATCTCTGAGTCTGATCTCTGAAATGCTCCTGTTTAAAGACCATAGTGCACTATTAGTAGAAAAAAAATCTAGCACTTGTACAAGCTGTCCACCATGAGATACTAATACATTCATTGACAGTCATCTGAATCAGTGGTGTTCTGTGATTACCTTAAATTTCTTTGGTAACAGATGTTGGTAAAATGTACTCTCTCTTCTGGTATTACCTGCCAGATCAACAGACTCCATATGTGCGTGCAGGTGTGACAGAGCTGAAAAACTGAAACTTTCTTGTTCTAGGAGATACTACTCTGATTCCACTAGTTCGTATGTTGCAGTCAACCTAAAAGAACTCCTTCCAGTACACTGAAGTTCTTTCAACCGTACTGTAGTATCAGTAAAATTCAAATCTGCTACATCCTTCTCCCTGTATTTTTGCAACTGTTAGAGGGCAACTTCTGACATACTGGTATCACTCTGTACTATCACTTTTCCAAGTTGATGGGCCAGTTCCTTAAGATCACAGCAACAACTGGTCTCATGATTTCAAATTGCATTGTCTAGCTCACTGTGCCTCTTGATCCTGTATGAATCAGAGGTCATGCAACAGACTTGTACAAGCTTCAGGGGAGGGTAAAATTATGTGAACAAAGAGGCTAAAGAAAGGAGTATTTGGGCCAAAACGTTATTTTGTGTTCAAGTCCTAATTGATTTGTCAATTTGTCTACTGCAGTCCATAGCAAAGCAAGATTAGATGAATTATTATGAGACGTTTCGATTCTCTCTAAAAATAATCTAGAAGTACCTAGCTGAAACAGGAAGATGTACTGAGCCAGCCAAACCTGTATCATGCAACTCACCTCCCTCACTGATGACTTCAGCTGAATGCAATTCATTGTTTCAGAAATATGCTTCTTGGAAGTACACTACAGAATCCAAACAGTCCAGAATATAAAATAAAGACACCATATTTACATCTCTATAACTACATATATACACACACACGATTAAATATGTAAATCACAGGAGCTGTCACAGACCTCAATCACATCAGTGCTAATTAGATAAGGTGTAGGAAGATAATGC